AGCCTAGATACTATCAAGTTGACGACACTAATCATGACACTTTCTAATTACGTTGGAATTTTCATACTTGTTCTGTGGTTATGTTTAAATAAGTGCCACCACTTCTTGCTACAAACTATATTTTGATTTAGCTTACTATGCTATCAACAAGTCTTCAATAGCACAAGTAAATAATTTTCCTATAAATTTTATTTTGGGAGTAGGATTTGATTAGACTAATATTATAGTCATAGCCCTGAATACATTTGGCAGATATTCATTCTAGAATGGACATCTTAGACGATCTAAGTATGTATTTACATTAATATTGAAAACTTTTAGACTTTCTCACATATGCATACATAAGCAAATATATACACATGTCTGTGTATATGTATTTTGTATATATATTACATATATACACCTATGTGTAAACACACAAATATATACTAGTGAGAAAAACACACACTTTATTTTTAATAGAATTATTCTATTATGTGTTGTATAGATGTTATGCAGAGTCTTTTACTCAAGAGGTAATCATAAAACAGTAATACAAATTATAACAGAACAAGACAAAACTAGATAATCAATGTCTTAGGCAAGATAATGAGTATTAGAGTTAAAAGAAGTTAGTGTGTGCTGTCTTCTATGCTAAGTGCTTGGTGAACATTATTCTTCTAATATTCAACACCCATGAGATCTAAGTCCTACTCCTAGAGAATGAAACTTGGATCTCCTAAGTAATTAGCACAGACTATAACCACCACATAAACCATAGAAGGAAAATATAACCATTTTCTGACCCAAGTTCACATTCCTGAATACAGTACACACTACCATCCCTCAAACTCTATCCATATTTACAATATCCAGTCCAAACTGTCTGAAGTTCATTCTGGCCTTTTAAGAGGTTAGCATTCCAGCCTTATCACAAATAAAAGGACATTATATCAGTAGCTGTAACTGAATGCCTCTTTGCTAGAAATTAAAGATTTTGGAAGATTGAGATGTATGTGATTGTGAGAAACATACATGTATCAGAAAGTAAAATCTGGAGGTTGGGGAGATAAAACTAGCTGGAAAAGAGCTAGTCAAGCATGCATGACGACCTGGGTTCGATCCCCTTAATCCATGTAAAAGATGAGTGTGGCAGCCACACCTGAAACCCAGTGCTGAGGAAGAGGGACTCACAGACTGGCCAGTCTAACCTAATCCAAGAAGAGCCTCAGCAGGACCCAGGGACAGACCCTGCCTCAAAACAGAAGTTGAATGGCTCCTGAAGGTTGGTTTAAGGCTTCTACATATGTATCTGAACACATATGTGTACAAACACACACAAGAACATGCACAAACACACACAGAGAAGGTAGAGATCTATGGAAACATACATGATAGGCTTACAATGAATATCATAAATTTCGATATTTAGGAGGTTTTTAGAGTTGATTTTATGCCTCTTAGCAATCTATAAAGGAGCAAGCTGCACTTAACACAAGTAACAGGCAAGAAAGATAAGACATTCTATTTAAGATGGGCGTGGCAGTTCACGCCTTTAGTCCTAGCACTCCGGAGGCAAAGGCAGGTGGATCTTTGTGAGGCCAGCCTGGTCTACAAGAGCTAGTTCCAGGACAGGCTCCAAAGCCACTGCGAAACCCTGTCTCGAAAAACTAAAAGACACTCTATTTAATTAGTCCAATCCTTTCTAATAGACACAATGCATCACTTCACGTTGATCGTACCAAGACATACAGTTGCAAAATAGCACACGGTGACCTCTAAAACCCATCCTCCTAATTCACCCTGTACCTTAATGTTCAATTACATATGCTAAATTCCCTATTTTCATTATAATATGAGAAACTTAAAATATTAGGTAAATTAGCACTTTCAGTATGTTTATGACTACCAACAAACACTTGCTAAGTGCAATAGGAAGGTTTATGTACACTTGTCAATCCAAAATACAAGAGACAACGATCAGTAACAAAGAACTAATAAAAATTAAGTGTTAGCAAACTATTAGAGAGAATCACTTTCAATTAGGATGGTTAGAGAATACCTCAGAGAGATGACTAAATATAGACAGGGCATTAGAAGGGAGAGCTGTTTTCATCAAAATAATATATGTAAATTTGAAAAGACAACAAGATATCCTATGTAAAATTAATGATATAAGAATGGCATAAAAATTTAATGTAACATGTAGCTTAGATTGGGTACAATGTAAGGTTGCTATTCTTGAGTATTTAATGCATACAGGAATCAAGTAGGACGTCAGATTAGAGTACGGGTCTGAACTAGTGAAAAACAGGAAGTCACCAAGTATCTTCTGACTTAACTGAAACTCATGTACAAATTTTGATGGAAGTGACAAAGCTCAATCCCTCAGAAACTCATTGAAATAGTTTTGCTATCTGTGTGGGTTGTGATATATATATATATATAATAGAATGTAGTAATGCCGTCTGTCTCTTTAGGTTTGAGATAGCTAAAGTCTACAACTTTATCACTATGTCATGTTGTGATGGATCTCCGAACAGGCCCTTGGCTTCCCACTGCCTTGGAAGAAATCAGTCTTTTCCTAACAGTGCTGAATCTCAGGCCAGGCTTGGCAATTGTGGTAGTTAGAATGTAATTTGCCCTCAGAATCTCATAGGGAGTGGTACTATTTAGGAGGTGCGGCTTTTCTGAAGAGGGTACAGCCTCCTTAAATGAAGTGTGTCACTGTGGGGGTAGGATTTGAGGTTTCCTATGCTCAGGATACTGCCCAGTGTCTCAGTTGACTTCCTGTTGCCTACAAGATATAGGACGGACTCTCAGCTACTACTCCAGCACCATGTCTGCGTGTACAGCCATCATGCTCCCTTCCCTGAGGATAAAGGACTAAACCTCTGAACTGTGCACCACCAATTTAATGAAACTTTGTAAGAGTTGCCATGATCATGGTGTCCCTTCACAGCAATAGAAACTCTAAGACAAAGCCAGGCGGTGGTGGCCCACGCCTTTAATCCCAGCACTCGGGAGGCAGAGGCAGGCGGATCTCTGTGAGTTCGAGACCAGCCTGGTCTACAAGAGCTAGTTCCAGGACAAGCTCCAAAACCACAGAGAAACCTTGTCTCGAGAAAAAAAAAAATAAATAAAATAAAAACAAAACTCTAAGACAGAAGTGAACTACCCTTTCAGTAGCACTCACCGTGAATCAGTGTTGAAATCACTCTCCTCATGACTACAGGGAGTGAAGAAAGGCTTACAACCATCATCACAAAGTACAGTTTCTAACTGCAAAGGAACAGTTCTTGTCTTTACTTCATAGCTAACAGCACTGAACAAGGCCTCTTCCTGAAATGCTTGGATTAAGAACTGCAATAGCTACTTAATAATTTAACTTGGTTATAAAGAAGGGCATGCTACACAGAATGCTTTAGCATGTTATAGTGAAAGAGCCTATTAGAGCAATGAAGTTCTGATTATAAAAGAAGACATAACTCAAGGATATGGGACTTGCCTTATATGTGAGGCCAGGATGCCATCCCTACCACAACAAAGAATGAAAACCAAAGAGAAAAGGAAAGGAAGAGAGAGGAGAAGGGAGCGAAAGGGGAGGGGGATGTTCAAGAAAAAGCAAAACTGTTTCCATAAGCCACAGTGAAACAAAATAATCATAAAACCTTTAGAGCTGGGCGGTGGTGGCGCACGCCTTTAATCCCAGCACTTGGGAGGCAGAGGCATGCGGATCTCTGTGAGTTCGAGACCAGCCTGTTCTACAAGAGCTAGTTCCATGACAGGCTCCAAAACCACAGAGAAACCCTGTCTCGAAAAAACAAACAAACAACAACAACCAACAAAAAAAAACCCTTTAGAGATACAATAAAAATTCTGTAGTCAGTAGAAAACAGCAAATTTAAAACAATTTCCAAAAGAAATTCTGAACATGACTACAAAGATCATATGGGCTTTGCCTTCTATATAACTGTAATACCTCCTAACTACTGTTCCTATGCTTAGTTAACAGATAAAGCATGTTTAAAGTAGGTTCAGTAAAAAATTTACTCAAAGTCCATTCCTTCGTTACTTATGAAGATACTTTTTTAATGCTGGAAGATTTCATTACTAAAATGTAGCCTTTCCTACTTAAGAATCCTTGGGGCTGGAGAGATGGCTCAGCGGTTAAGGGCATTGCCTGCTCTTCCAAAGGTCCTGAGTTCAATTCCTGGCAACCACATGGTGGCTCACAATCATCTGTAATGATGTCTGGTACCCTCTTCTGGCCTGAAGGCATACACATAGAAAGAATATTGTATACATAATAAATAAATAAATATTTAAAAGAATCCTGAAAAAGAGAAAGAAAAAGAAAAGAAAAGGAAAGAATCCTGTACCAGGCCTGGGACATGTCTTAGAATTTATGCTTCCTATGTATAAGGCCAGTGTTCAATCTCAGCACCATCTAGGAGTTGTTAAGGGCATACTTATAGATAACACATTTCCTTGACATGCAACAGAAATGAATATTGTAAACAAAGTTAAACAGAAGAAGCATTTTCTTCAAATATGGCCATTTGGGAGGCTGTATAAGAATATCCGGGTATCGATAAAACTTTAAGGAATAAGCCTGAGAATTCTCTAAGGTTGCTATGCTTTCGTAGCCAGACCTTAATAATCCATAACTATCTCAAGTAATTTTATTTTTTCCGGTTTTCCCCTAATATAGAATAATCTTAAATCTTTGCCACATTTTGGTAAAAACAAAATGGAAAAAGATGACAGCATGATTCACAGTGAAATATGTATATAATAATTTTAGCTATAAGTTAAATTTTCAATTTAAAGCCCTTTAAGGCATTTTACTAGTATTAAGTAACTAGAAATATGAAATATGAGTCACTGAATATCTAAACATTCAACTGGCTGGTGGGAGAAATTATAATAGTTGTATGCTATGAATATCTCCTAATTCAATTCCTATTCTCAGAGAAAACAACTCGTCCTTTGAAGCTGAACAGTCATTTTGGTCTTACTGTGATCAATGTGGTCAATCTTGTGACATCACTGTTGAGAAACCTGCAACAGGAAAAAAACAGAATTAGCAACCAGCTGAATCTCACTTGAGTAAGTAACTTCAGAAACCGTTTCTTTAGGACTTTGTCTCTGTTTTCCCCCACAGTAACCTAAAGTGAAGGAAGCACAAAACTGGCCAGGCAGAAATACACACAAAATATCTGACACTTATAAGTATGCCAGGGTGGGCGTGTTCATAGTCAGCAACAAACACTTTTATATTTAAAAATAAATTATAGGGCATTTGGGTTACAGGTCTTGTTTATTTCCAGATATTTAAGAAGAAAAGAATCACTGTGTCTTAACTATATCACAATGGGGGACTGATTGTAAATACTTTATGATTAGCAGCCTTACCTACCTACTGTCAAAATGTCATTTACTGAAAACAGGAGAAATTGCTACACACCTAATCCTTATCATAGATTAAGGGGATCTTTGGGACAGATCCAGTGTTAAGCCATGAGCCCCAGGGAACCTGTACACTAAGTCACTTCCTAAGCTATTAATAACTTACACTTATCCAATAAATAAGACCTTCTAGAAACTCCTTCATTAACAAGGCTTTATTTAAGACATCTCTTAAATGCTTTAGTATTAAAAAAAAAAACACACTGTCAGTGTTCTAAGGTTAATAGCTTTCATGTATTGTTTTAACAAATCCTCATAATAAGCCCTTCAAAGAAGCAAAAGATGTGTTAGCTTCATTACACACTCATGGAGGAGCTTGCAGCAGATTATGTAAACTGGCTCAACAGAAGAGAGTGGCCTTTGTCCTTACACTTTCACACAATTCATCCTGTTCCTTTTCCTCATTGTTTCCACACAAAACCTATCATTGCTATCCTACTAGTTCAAGGGACTGCTCAATGGCTCACGAGTAAAGATGCTGTTGCCAAGCCCGAGACCTCAGTTCAATGCCCAGTTGGCAGGAGAAGACTCATGCATTTAGTACTCTGACCTCAAACCCCACACCATGACACAACAAAGCACACTTGTGCTTTCCACCCCTATATATACACACAGATACATAAAACCAATAAACAAAGGTTTAAAAGATATTGCTTATCTATATTATATATATATATACACACACACATATATATATATATATATATGATTTTGTTGTGAGTTGTGGGGGATCTAACCCAGTGCCTCGTTCATGATCGCGAAAGTGCTCTACCACTGAACTAGCTACACCCTCAGTCTTTCCAACCATGCTATAACTCTACCATTGCTAGGAGAATTCTCACAATACTTCTTGGGCTTATGAGGCCAGCTCGAGCTTCACTATGTCTCTCCGCTGTCTACAAGACCTAGTTCCAGGACAGCCAGGGCTGTTACACAGAGAAACACTGCCTTGAAAAATCAAACTTGGAGTGTATATGCATGATGTGTGGATGAATGTGTTTGTGTGTCCACTGCGTGTGAGTCTACAATGATAGTAAAGATCAGGGCACCTCAGGTATCAATCACATCAAGCATCAGGACTTGCTTCCCATCTGCTTGAGGCAGGATTCCGTCTTTGCTATTTGCTGTTATGGACAACACAATTTTCAAGGGGCTCTCCTATTTCCGCTTCCCACCTCACTGTAGGTGCTCTGGGATTGTGGATGAATACCACAGCACCTGGCTTTATGTGGAGTCTGTGGACCAGACACTGCAATAGCGTCATCCACTGAGCCATCTCCCTAGTGCAGGATATGGGAGGAATTAATGCTAAATTAATAATAACAGCAAAGACCATTCAAAGTTCTAAGTTCCACAGTCAAACACACAGTGGGAGAGCATGGTGACTTTTGCTTTGAACAGCCCATAAGGTCGTGTGACTATCATTTATTCAAGTGGAGATGATTCTAGAGCAGGTAATTTTTTTGTTTGTTTGCTTTTCGAGACAGGGTTTCTCTGTGTAGTTTTTGGAACCTGACCTGGAACTAGCTCTTGTAGACCAGGCTGGCTTCAAACTCACAAACATCTGCCTGCCTTTGCCTCCCGAGTGCTGAGATTAAAGGCATGTGCCACCACCGCCCGGCTACAAAGCAGGGAAATTTTAAAATAACACACGATACTGAAGTGGGAAACTTAGTAAGATGTTTTATAGCTTCCATTTCAGTATGAAAGCTCATTAAGTTCCCTAGACTTTGAGTCTGGTTAATTTGGGTATGTGGTATTTTTATTTCCTTGTAAGTCTTTTTTTACAATAAATTTATTTAAAAATTTTCCCTCCCCACATTCATTTTAATCATGATATTTTATCACAGCAAGAGAAGGCAAATGAAAACATTTCATTTAACAGTCAGAAGTGCGTGCTGAGCACACCAAGGCTTTATGGCTATGTCTCAGGAAGGAAGGAAGGAAGGAAGGAAGGAAGGAAGGAAGGAAGGAAGGAAGGAAGGAAGGAAGGA